TTCTTCAATAATGTTTATTGACCGAGAGACTTTATTTATTTACCCGGATTTTTTATTTTTTTACCTTTGAGCAGTAAAATTTTTAAGCAAAGCAACTGTTTTTAATGTGGAATATCCATTTTTGTTGGCAAGTTCATATCGCGTCCGGAGGTCACCAATGAGGGGATTCATAAATAGACTATGTCAACCTTCATCTGTCAAAAGGTACCTCAAGATAGAATCAAGGAATTCGATGAACAAATACCACTAGTTGATTCATACTGTTTAATTATTTATATTGATTCGGCTCATTATATTTTCTTCATTTTTTTTCTAGCATTTCGCTCATTACTTTTTTTCTTCAATAATGTTTATTGACCGAGAGACTTTATTTATTTACCCGGATTTTTTATTTTTTTACCTTTGAGCAGTAAAATTTTTAAGCAAAGCAACTGTTTTTAATGTGGAATATCCATTTTTGTTGGCAAGTTCATATCGCGTCCGGAGGTCACCAATGAGGGGATTCATAAATAGACTATGTCAACCTTCATCTGTCAAAAGGTCCCTCAAGATAGAATCAAGTTAACATGTCTTGTATACTAGTGAATTGGTATTCAATATTCATAGTGGTAGTTACGCCTCACCATTTACTTTAGAAGCACATAATCATTTTATATTCTGTTATGAATTTATATGAATTGCTTTTTACTTAGGTTGATACTCATGTTCATGCTGCTTCTTGTATGAATCAGAAACATTTACTGCGTTTTATAAAAAGAGCTATGAAGAAATGTGCTGGAGAAACTGTGTGTATATCAAACGGTGTACCCCAAACATTGAAACAGGTGAGATGCCTCTAAAACTTTGGTAGTGATACTGTACTATTGTTTTTCTTTTTTCAAGGTTTATTGCTTTATTCTATATTTTATACTATATTTAAGCTTATATTTCCTGCTATATCATTTCCTTTTTCTTGACGTTTTGGTTTTACATACATTTCAGTTTTTTAGTTGTGCAAGTCTTATTGCAATTTCATTATGTAGGCTGAAGCCTGCAAAACCTTCATTATTTCGCATTTAAATTTTTTATGATTGCATGTTAAAATACACGCAGAGTAAGATATTTTTTACATAATGTATGTATTCCTTATTATTTTATGTTTTTCTTTTATTTGTTAATTTTCTTTATGCCTCTCTGTTTATTTGGCTTTTATCTTTAAAGCTTGCATGTGCACTGTATACCTAAATTATGCAGATTCATTCTTTATGCTTTAACCTGTTAACACCCATCATTATATTTGAAGGACAGTTTTTTTCTAAAACATTCACTGTGATGGGACATTTTTTCAGTATTATTATTAGACTGGGAGAATTAAAAGATTCTCCCCCAACATAATTTCTGAGTGATTTAGTTATCTATGAATTGGAACTATAGATCTAGAATTCTAAGAAGCAGGGACTTTTTTTAATGAAATGGTAACCATCAGTTGGAAATAGCTAAATAATTTACCATATATATTTTACAACTTTTTCCCTTAAAGCCACTTTTTGTATCACTACAGTATAAAAAGTGAAAATGTGTTAAAAAGACTGCATGTGAGCCATTTTTCAAAATATCACTTAGCTTAAAATTAATGAGAAGGATTAAATTTTTGAATTAATTTATTTGAATTTCCTACAAAAACCTATTTATTGACTGGTGAAAGCAAGTTTGTATAATGAAAATCTGTCAACCCCATCATTTAAATCAGTTGTTTACCAAATGTTTTCGAAAATTTATAAGCCATTAAATAATCTTTAGTTTTGCTGTAAATTACCATGCTAATATCATTAGGAAATTCTCAGAATTTACATAAGGGTAATTCAATAATTAATAGCTGCATAATAAAATGCACCTATTTGCCCCTTTAATTTTTAAATGACTTAGTTCAAAGTTTGAAAGAAATCTGTAGAGTTGGTTCTTAAGAAATAAAAATCAATATGGCTTTAAATTAAAAATATGGCTTCTCGAGAACTGCTTGTTTTTATTTCTTTCAAATTTTGAATTTTATTTATTAATTTATTTATTTTTGAATGTTGTATATATGCCAATTTATGTACTAAAAATATGTTAAAAATTTGTCGAAATATATTCTACCCCTTAATGCCTTTTTCTATTTTTTTAAATTATAATCCAGTTTCTTTGATTTTTTTATTTTATTTTTATACAGCTGGTTTTCTTTTGCTTTTGACTTCTATCACTAACTTTTCTTTCATTTTAAATTGAGTACTTAAATGATATATTTTAAATTGTTAATTATAGAATATGTGATTATTTATGTTCGTAATACGTAATTTGTTTCTAAACACAATATGTATGTATATTTTTTCTTTCCCAATGAAACACTTTTTGCAGCCTTCAAGCATTTAGGATCATTATTTTCTGCACCAATAAATGTATAAAACTGCTCTTACTTCAGTGAATAATATTTTATGTTTTCTTTATTATAAAGTGGATGAAATCTGTACCAAGCGTCACAGAAATCATGAGTTCTCAAGTAAGAACCAAGTAGATATTTTATAGGGCGAATATTTTCCTTGCATATATCTAACCTTACTCACTAGTTTTCATTATATTCATTATTGCATCAACTTATCGTTAATATTTCATATTCACTATACGTTTTTGAAAGGTCTATCCTGTTGTTTTTTTAATTTATTATTTTTATTTTACCTCAACTAACATTTATTTATTTTCTTTTGAAAGAGTAGACTGCTTTTTTGTTATGTTTTGTTTTGTTTTTAAATTGAAGTTGAAGTTTTGTTTTTAAATTGTTTTGTTTTTAAATTGAAGAACATATTATAATTATATAAAATGAATTTAATTGCTGTTAATTACTAGATAAAACTATAAATTTAATAATAAACAGAAACATGTTGTTCTTTAAGTTTCAACAATGTCAATTATAAATGGGAAATATTATAATTTTATAATTATTAATGTGTAGTATTTGTATTTTATTGACTATAAAAGTTTCTAAAATTACTTGTCATGATTATTACATAATATTTTGGATACTCTGCAATATTTCTTATAAAATTTATATTTTATAACATTTGCATTTTTTTTCCTTCCTATTTTGTTCATATTCACAGCTATATTTATGAGAAATATTCAAGAGCACCCAATACTATGAAGCATTGTTAAGCATCTAAAATTCATTGTTATATTGCATTCACTGACAAAACTTTTACTTGTATTGCAGTTACTTTATATATCCGTTGTATTATATATCCACAGTAAAATTAATATCACATAACCTGGCATACAAGTCAACTTTTCAGACCCCTAAAATTTTGCAAAAATAAGGGGGTTAACTTATACATTCTTAATAAAATTGGACATTCTTTGATCCTAAAATAATGATGCATTATAAACAATGATATTGATATGAATATTTCAGTATCAATTTAACCATTTCGAAAGGAATTTTTAATGTGTTATATACAATACACTAAAAGGCATTCACTTTTTCAGGGCACCTGTTCTGTACTTCTTTTTTCACTCTTTTATGCCACCTTTGTTCATCCATTCCTTAGGATGGACATGCAACGCTATTTATTCTATATAAAGTGTTTAGTTTGGGAAAAGTCTTGCGCTTCACGATTATCATTGGTTTTGACTGGCGACCATCTGCTAAGCAAGTTAACACCACAACAAACTAGGTTTTTTTGTGCCCTGTTAACCTAATAAACTGGTCTCCTCGGAGCATTTGTTAATGCATCTTTATTTTAAGGCAAATGTATTATATCCAAAGTGACCAATGTGAAATATTTTTGACTTCAGAAACTTTCGTGCATTTATATTTTTTTTTGTTTCTTAGGTTTAGAAATTTTCATTTTTTTTTTTTCAGCAGCCGAATTATGTACCCAATATACCAGAAATTTGTTGTCTCATGATCAAAAATAGGGGATCACTGGTATATAGAGTATATCTAACAACATCTAATATTTTTATAAGAAAAAAAATTAAATATATTTTGCTGATGGGGCACTCACTTTCAAATAAATCTTGAATTTTACATGCATCAAAATTTTGTACTGTTCCAAATGCTTGTAAAGGTGATAGAAATGGGGAATAGATGTATTATTGGAATTAAAATTTTCTTTTCTGCCTTCAAATATTTTATCTTACAGGTTTGGTGATAACAATTAAATGCAATTTTTTTCTAAGCATAAATATATTTACTAATGGATATTTTTCAATTTAATGGTTTTTGTACTTTTTTTAAAATTTATTTGAATTTTTTTATTTAAATGTTATTAACTTGTCTGAATTTCCTCATTATGTTATTAACTTTTATTATTTTTAGGTATTTGAATCATTAAATCTAACAGCTTATGACTTAAGCGTTGATGTTCTAGATGTGCATGCAGTAAGAATATGTTTTTATTTTTTTAAATTTTATTTTCTGAAATATGTAATTATTTAAACAAATTATTAAAAAATTATATTTTATCCTTAGGATCGAAATACTTTCCATAGGTTTGATAAATTTAATGCCAAATATAATCCTATTGGAGAAAGTCGATTGAGAGAAATATTTCTAAAAACTGATAATTTCATTGAAGGAAAATATTTTGCCCACATCCTGAAAGTAAGTTGATTATTTTTGTGTATTTTTTTTTCTTTTTATTGGATATTAATAAATTATTTTCGTTATTCAATATATATTCTGAAAGTTAGAGCAATGAAAAAAAACTGGAATGAACCCTGAACTATGGATTTAAACTTATTAAAGACATCTTGACATGCCACACACCTCCAGCTGTTTTTGCCACAAAATCACCATTAACATACTCACGTTAGTATGCAATTATCACAGAAAAATAAAAACGTTAATGGTTTGTATTATAAAAATATAAAAGAATGTTCTGATCTGTATAAGGCATCGAACACTTCCGGCCTGGCAGTAAGTTGTGGTTTACTATTTAGTTGAATGCATTTCTTGGATGTGCAAGTGGTTAAATTAAAACTTTTGTGTTATTCAACTTCTGCTCCTTCAAATGTATGCCTTTTAAGAAGCTAAAAATTTATACACAGAATGACTAAAAAAAATGTCCCACACATAAAACTGTAATTTTTATTCTCATTAAAATCATCATTGTATTTGACACAATAGCCCCCAGTAGCACGAGACCTTCTGCTTAAAATTCCATCAGAGTGACCTATTTCATCACCTGGACTGCCAGTCTTTTATCCCAATCACTTTAAAATTTGATTCTACAGAATTAAGCTATCAATGTTTTGGCCTTCCTCTTTTCCGACTAGTAAGAGGATTTGACGCAGAAATGTTTTTATTAAAATACCGCTAAATTTTAAAATAAGCATGATAACAGATGTAAGCACGTTACAAAATTTTCTTTTATAGGTTCAACTAATCTGCTGATGTCTTATTTTATTCCTTATACAAAAAAATTTTTAGGGTTGCCAACGTCTTATGACATATTCAACAAGAACTTTTATCTCAGAGATGAACCAACTGATGTTTTAAAAGAACTGGCATTTAAAAGCATACAAACTATTCAAAATTATATAATTTACAGTTGAAATAGACAAACTCTAATCTAAAAGTAGTTTTTCTTTTATGATAAAAAAATCTGTATCCTATAGTTTTATAAATGATATTTAACATCATATTTAAATTGATTTCAATGCATGTCCATCAAGTTCATAATAATCTTTTAATAATCTTTATAAAAATCTTTTGATAAATCTTTTGATTCACCAAAAGATTTATCCAAACTTTTGATCCACGAGATGGAAAACTCTTTAAAGTTATGGATTTTTTTTTTCGAACTCATTTCCTTACTATTCTGATAAAAATCATGGTCAATACAAGCTTTGCAGAAATCTTTTACATTGGGGAGTTTCTTGAACAAATGCTTCAATTAAAAAATAGTCAAAGGTGATTAATTTAAAACAGAAACTTTCGTTTTATTTTTATATATTACTTGTTATTTATCTCTCAGCATTGTGAAAATATTTGAAGTTTTTTTTCCATTTGGTATGTTTTGCCTTGGTGGGACATCAATTGCATTGAAAAGGCAATAATTAATTCAATAAAGCTGTTGCTCTAACACACTGTGGAATTATCATCGTAAATATAATATTTTACATTTAAAGAATATACAAGAAAAAATTGCTATGACATTAGTTTATTAATCATAGCAATTATTTATTAGAAAAATCAAAAATTTATCCTTTAATAAAAAATTCCATTCTATAATATTTTTTTTTATGTGATTAGAAAGCTTTTACAAACATTTTCTCTTATAACAGTCCTATGTTTAGTTGATATGAATTGTAGATAATTTATTGAAAATCTCACACTATCAAACTATATTGAATCTATTAAATTTCTTTCAAATTTAAAGCTTTTAAAAAAAAATTCGTTATTTTTTCATGTGAAAAAAAGTTTTGTATCAGAACTTTCAAGGTTATAAAATTCTCAGGTAAATTTGCTTTTTTTTTAAAAAAAAAAAAGAAGTTTTAATTGTTTATTCCCACAGGAAGTTATGAGTGATTTAGAAGAAAGTAAATATCAAAATGCGGAATTCCGTCTTTCTATATATGGTCGTAAGAAAGATGAATGGGATAAACTTGCTCGATGGGCCATAAAACACAATGTGCATTCAAATAACAACCGATGGCTTATTCAGATTCCTAGATTATAGTGAGTTTAGTTAAGATTTTTACTTTTGTTTAGAAATTGTGTTTAGTATGAAACTAAGTATTATGTTCTACTGTTAATTTCATTACACTTTCCTTAATTGATAAATTTTAACCTATAGTTGTGTTATTATCTATGTGTAAAATGAAATCCTTTAAACTGTTTACATTTTTCAGGTAAATAAAGCCTGCTCCACAATTCTTGGGTATCTTTGTTATTTTTTCTTTTTATTTTATACATTGCCTGTTCTCAGTTAACTCCTAGATTCATATACATTTGTCTCACAGACTTCACAAAGTACATAGGCGTAAAAGAAATAGTAAGATGAGCTTTAAAGTACTTTTCCAAAATGTTAACTGAATATTTAAGAATGGTGCACTATTGCATGTTTTTTTTATAATCTGCGTTGAACAGCCGACACAATTCTTAAATTTATGACCATCAATGTTCAACTCTGTAGCCTTGTAATTTTGAATCCAACTCAGAAGACAAGGGAACTCTTGGATCGAGCATAGGGACAAACTAGCCTTTGGGGAAAACTTTTTGATGTAACAAACCCGCATTTGCATTACATGAAGTGGAAACCCACGAAAACCTCCCTTTGGGGCAGGGGATTCTAACCCATGGTGCGTCTACCTCTGAGGATATTTTATATCAGCACTGTGGTCACTGCTAGCGGGAAACACAATTTGTATCAACCAGCCTCCATTGGAATTCGAACCTGGGTTACCTCAAATGGGGGTGAACATTCTCCCCCTTCAGTCACCGCTGCTCTCCAATTTATGTTTATGAATCTTGGGTTAGGACTTGGTTTTTATACTCCTTTAATTCTTTACTTTAATTTTGTAACACAATTGGTGTTAGGACCTTCTGGTCTTGAAAAGTTATAAAAGTATCCTATGCAGTTTTTATTTGTTGAATTCTATTAAATAAATAATTAATTGCTTTACAAATATCTGTTGTGAACTGTGTTTAAGTAGTCTAAATATTTATGTAATTAAAATAACATCACCTAATATCTTTTGTTTAGTTTTCATTTAAAATAAAAATAAAAAATTGATTACAAGTTTAAGAAAGGAAGTAAATCAAGATTTTACTAACCTCATAGCATGTACAGTATAGTATGAAACAAATAAAATTAAAACAATTAGTTTTAATATTGGTTAGTGTTTAATGAGTTTTAGAAAAATGTGTAAAAAGGTAATTTACTTTACTGTAGCTTATCAATTGCTTATTTTTGAACGTTTTGCAAATTAGATTACTTATAAATTTTCCTTTTATTTGTTGCTTTTTTTCAGCATTTCATTATTTTTAAACATGTTGGTTGTTAGCAGATGAATGGAAAAGTTAAAACATAATTCTTATTTTTAGTGACATCTTTAAGTCGAACAAGTTAGTGAATAACTTTCAAGAAATATTAGATAATATATTCATGCCTTTGTTTGAAGCCACTAACAATCCAAGTAGTCACCCTGAACTCCACTTATTCCTCAAATATGTAAGTAATACAATCACAATTTATGCATTTTGCTAAATGTATTAATTTAATTATTTTTCTACATTCAGAATAAGTACTTTTAGAAAGAATAATTGCTAGTTTTGTTCATTGGTCAAAAATAAAATTTTTAATACTGTTGACATTTCTTTTTTAAAAATTATTATATTCGTGAATATGATCTGCCTCCCCTCTCCTAATAAGTTTTTAGAATATTTAAATTTAAAAAATGCAAGATTTTTTTCATATTTATATTTGGAATTTAATGAATTATATTTGAACTTGTTCCCTTATTTTGTAAAATATATACTTAAAAGAGTTAAACTAAGGAAAACAAATGAAAAAGAAAACCGTAAAATAAATTAACAAAGAATATCAAAAAAACTGCTACTCAAATTGCAATAAAATTGCATGGAATAGTCATAACAAACCTATTGATTAAAAAAAATTCAGAAGATTAAACTACAGTTTTCTTTAGACCATTTGAACTGGAATTTTCAGAATTTAAAAAAAAAAAGTATATTTTCCTGATAAACATAAATTTAATTTACTCAAGTGTGATGGCAAAAAGTATATTCATTTTGCAACAAGAAATAATATTAAATTGTATTTTTTATCTACAATTCTGATTTGTGTTAAAAAAATCTAAATAAAATTTTAAAAAATTCATTTTTGACAAAATTAAGAATGTACAGTTTGGGGTGCATTTCAGATAAAGTACCCTTTAGTACAAATTGGCGACATTATAGATTTCTTTATGTTTTGTATATTATGCAAAAGAATCTTCTAGCATATGCAATCAAAATGATGCCATAAACTGGAAAGATTCCAGTAAGTGTTATAATGACTCGTGTTAAAATTCAAAGCTTGTGACGGAATGGTTTGAGTTTTATGTAACAATATTGGTGTTTTACAAAACCCAAGTTAATCTCCAGACTTAAATTTCATATATCATCATGGGAAGAGCTAAATGACATGTAAGCATCAATATTCAAATAAATAAAATAATTCCGTGCTTTACAACCAGAATAAGATCAAATTATAGCTGTGTATATCGATAACCTTATTGATTATCAATTACTGCAACTTAGTACTGCTGTGAGAACAGCAAAAACCATCACAGTAGCATAATCAAAAATATGAATGACGTGGCTACAAGATGTAAACAGCATTATATAATTTTTACATGTTATATTAATTTTTCAACTCATATTTATCAAAAATAATTTTATTAAATTAAAATAAGATTCTGGCCTAAAACTTTGATACATGGAAATATTGCAGTTTAGTTTACATGTTTAAAAGTTTTTATACACATAATATTAAATAATTAATAATGTGATATTATTTTATCTTTGGTTATAATCATCAATAAAATAAAAATTATTTGCTTTCCAGTCATTTAAATAGCCAAAAACTAGAAATTGTTATTAAAAAAGATACTTACTGGAGACGTTTGCCTGCCACTGTATTTAAAATAAAGGAAAAAAGATCTTAATATATCAAGAGAGGATATGGAGTTTTATAAAAAATTGTTTAATTAATACAAACAATTTTCACTTTATTAATTTTAGTATTGCTTTCAGCAATACTAAAAGATAATTCTATCAAGTTTTGTGTGAATAAGTTTAGTAATAGTTTAACCATTTAAAAAAAAAAAACTTTATTCAGATGTAAATTCTCTTTTGATAGGTAACAGGTTTTGATTCAGTTGATGATGAATCCAAACCAGAAAATCCTATGTTTGATAAGGATGTGACTCATCCATCTTCTTGGAAAGATGTGGAGAATCCACCATATAATTATTACCTGTATTATATGTATGCTAATATGTGTGTTCTCAATTGTTTAAGAAAGTAAGTCAAAACCTTTATTGTAACATTTTTCTGTATTTACTTCCTTCTCGCTACCGTGAAAATGACAGGGTGAGGTTTTGCCCTCTATTTCTCGCTCCCGTGATATTGATGGACTGGAGTGTTCAGTAGTAACGTGCCAATAAGAACAAAACTAGTTCTTTTTTTTTTAAATCTGGAAAACATTTTATTTCTCATTTCACACACCAGATGGCAGTACCAGGATATTTTTAAGGTAATTGTAGATAGTTATTTTAAACTAGATGTCAGCACTAATCAAATACAAATACAAAAGCCAAAAATAGGCACTTTTATGACCGTTTTCTTGAAAATTAACTGATCGTTAAGGGGTTAATTGATATACTATGTGTGACATAATAGTGTGGTCATAATACTGACTTGGCCGTAACGCTAGTTAAGGTCAAATATTTTATCTTTTGTGAAGTACAAGTAATATATTCACTAATTTTGGTGTACAAGCGTTAAATAATATTAGTTCAGATTTATGAAATACATGTATAACAATTTAGAATATCAATTCAATTTGTTCAAATCATTAGTTTTTTAGATTGAAGTATGTATGGCAGCAAAATTAGCCTTCGCTAAAATTAATCAAAATTATATTTTAAGCACTATACTCTAAGGAATAGATGAAAATAAAATAATTATAACATGATAAAAATACACATTAGATTTGAATCACACAAGTATAGTGGTTAGTTTGTTTGCTCTAAGGTAAAAGATTAATTTGGAAAATAAAATAAGGATGAACAAAAGGAACATTGAAATAATGAGACAAAATATTAAATTAATTTCTTACATCTCTGTTTATTACAACTTGATTAATATATGACAATCTCACGTGTAGTGATAATTTACCATCACTCAAAGACCTAAAACATAATCAAGTATTTTTTTCTTTTTTTTTTTTTATGGCGGGCACTTGGAATGTATTAGCCTCTTGTATTTAAATTGATGCATTAAAAAACCTAGTTACCACTCAGACTTATTACACATACATTTCTCTCGTGATGCACGCAGATTCCATCAAGCATATCTACTACTATAAATTTTAAACATACATTTTTTAGAAAGAGGAAGAAACTCCCCCTTCCACACCGGAGAGGGTCAGCTAGCGAATACTTTAAATACTAATGCCTCACTTCTAAAAAACGTTTTTTTTTTTGTACTGTTCAACCCTATTGCAGTTCCTTGGTGTAAAGGGATAGTTCTTTTTAATACAGTCTATTCACCGCAAGCGGTATTCCCCCTCATTATGGGTTTAATGTAAAGGTACAGCTTTTGTCTCCTTCACATCGAGTTTATATTGTGCTGGTATAGTTTCATTGGTGTATTTTCCCTTTGACACAATTATTTAGAGCTTATTATATATTAAATCTGGTAGGTTTTTATAATTGTAGAAAGTTTGTCATAATGTTAAACATTTGTTTAACAAGGTGTTAGCCGAATTCTGTAAATTTTAATAATTTCTCTACGGTTTATGTAATAAAAGGTTGCTTATAATTATTTTTAACCATACAATTTTTTTCATAGTTATTATATAGGTATATCAAAAGGGCATATTAAAAATTTAAAAATAATTCTTATTTTTTTTCACATTAAACAATTTATCTTGCACTTAGCAATTTATTTATTTTGAAGATATTATGGGAAACCTGAATAAAAATCAGTTTTTTTCCGTAATAGTACTTAAAATGTAATTCTTTTTATTTTTCATTTTAGGGAACGAAAACTTAATACGTTTGTATTGAGACCTCATTGTGGTGAAGCAGGTCCTGTACAGCATTTGGTTGGAGGTTTTCTTTTAAGCGAAAATATATCTCATGGTTTAATACTTAGAAAGGTAATCGGGCACAGAATTTTTTCTAAATTTTGTGTTGAAATGCATTAACTTAAATTTAGGGTAAAAAAAATTTTATTTAAGCTTTTTTAAATTGTAATATGACATCAAATTGATATCGTTGTTAAGATGATCAAAATTAACTGAGAATTTTTAAGAGTTTAACTACATTTAACCATAAAAAATTATGAAATAAAATTAATAAATTAAAAATAAGTAAATTGCAAACGACAACATTTCTATAAATGTCTCTTTTCTATACTCTATTTACCTTTATAACACAGAGTGCATTACAGTTCTCTACGGGGTTTTGGAAGACTTATAAGAAATTAATCATTTCAATGAGTTAATGGGTGGATATAAAAAATTATGTATTTGTGCCATTTTGCCACATATTTTAACAGAATATTGATGAAGGATCACAATGGTATTCACTATCATTGATTGTTGCATCGAGTGTGGTAAGACTTTAGACTTGAAGTTTGCAGCATCAAAGATTCTTTTATTAAACATTTGTGAAAAGAAAAAAAAATTGTGATCTATCTTTACCAGATTAGATTAAATTTGTAATTTATTGGTAAAATTTGGTTTGTTATAAGCCTTCCAAACATCAGAGGGAATCATGACACACTCTGTACTGTAAAAAGATTTGCTGTAAGATAAAACATACTTAATTTTTAATACAAGACCCATAGAAAGTTGAATGTTTGTTTTTTTTAAAATCATTTGGGAAAAGTAGCACTAATAAAAAAATTTCCTAAGTTTATTTTCTCAGAGTTTTAGCACTGGTTTGTAATTTTTATTGTTAATAGATATCTGTAATTTAATTAAGTAAAATGGTTCATTAAACAGTTTGTTAATTTTGAGTAATCAACTAACCTTACATCGTTTTGTAGGTTTCTAAAAAGATATTCGAGATCTTACTACTTAACCTTTCTAAATAAAATTCTCAAAATAAAATTCTCAGAACAAAAATCTCCAATTTTCTAACTGAACTTACTTTTTTCCTTTTAGCTTGAAAAGTAAAGCATTAAATTTTGGAATAGCCATTTTGAAACTTGACTCTCGATTTTTTTTCCCGTTTCTTTTTAATGCTTTATAATATATATATATATATATATATTACAATCTTAGATATTCTTAATCATTGTAAAAGCAATTTTCAAAGAGATGAAAATATATAATTTGTATAACAGCAGTTATTTTTACAGGTACCGGTGCTACAGTATTTATACTATCTGTCTCAAATAGGAATAGCTATGTCTCCCCTGAGTAATAACTCGCTCTTCCTCAATTATCATCGAAATCCTTTGCCAGAATACTTAAGTAGAGGACTTTGTGTATCGTTATCCACTGATGATCCACTGCAATTTCATTTCACCAAAGTAAGTCTTCTATTTTGCATCCAAGTTATTCTTTTCTAAGTTTTTAATTTCATTGCAAATTTGGCACATTTATGCAAAAAACTAAATGCCAAGTAATATTACTACTTTGTATAGTTGAAATAAAAACTAGTTAGTTGTACAGGAAAGTAAATTGACTGACACTTGCAAAATTAATGCATGAAAAAAGACTAGATTAGCAAAACATAAATTCATATGGATTGCAGATAAATTTTTGCACCACATTTTTTTTAAATCTTTATTATGTTTTGCAGACCTTTGTTTTAAGAATTTAAAGGCATGGTTCTATTTTAAAATATTTTCAACAAATCATAGATAACATATATATTGAATGTTTAGATAATATAAGCATTAATATCATAAAATTATGTTTTACTGCTTATCTATTCTTTTTATTTACTAACCCCCTGCTCTTTTGACAATATTATACTGTTCACTCTTTTGTGACAATAACTCTACAAGTATAGTTTCTTTTTTCCCAGTTAAACAAGAGTTATTATGACCCTAAGGTGTTATAGTAATCTTTCTTTTTTAACGGTTTAATTTTTTACTTATTTGCTACAGACTTAGTTTATGAAACTACTTAACTTTTTGCTTATGGCTGATATAACAAGTGAATCAGAATAACAGGCTTCATAATGTTAAGTGCCATAAGCGAAGAGCTAATCTGCTGATCCGGGTCATATATAATGTCATTTTTTTCTTGTGGTATTCTGATATTGGCTTATGGGCCATTAAATTTTACATTTATTTCATTTTCTGACAGTATGTCAATTCTGTAGTCACACCCTTGAATTGATAATATAAAGGTATTTTGTTTGTTGAAAATGAACAGAAATATTTTATATTATTACTCTTTCTTTTTATAGACTTTCATATTATAAAAAAAAATTTTGATTGTTAGTGTGTTTCAGATTTTAAAATACTCTGCAGGGATGATTGTACTCCAGGGGTTTCCTGGAATTCAGGGTTTTTTGTATAATTTTTTCGGGTTCAAAAACTAGAAGCAGCGCATGCAAGTTTTGCGCGAACATCATAGAATTCCACGTCACTATTCATAGAATTCCGCGAATCAAAACTTATGATCCGACGAAATTTTGAAGATTTTGCTAAATCCCGTTAGTGATGTGTTTTCATACTTTCTTCCGCCGATTACATAAAGAATTATGCCCTACGTGATTCTTCTGCCAATTTGATTGTTTTGGTTTGGCCTATTTTTGCTATTTTGAATATTCGGTGCAGCTTGGAATCTGCTAATATCGCGAGCCTTATTCATGCGATTTTAATAAACATCAATTTTTGTATTTACAGGGTATCCGCGCACCTGGAAAGTCATGAAAAATCATGGAAAGTCATGAATTTCAGTATTGAACAAAATTTGTCATGAAAAGTCATGATTTTTGCTGTTTTTTTGAAAAAAATCATGGAAAGTCATGGATTTTGGTATTCCAGTGTTGCAAGTACTGCGCCAATTGTGGAAACCTGGGCCTATATGCTCCAAATTGAAGTAGTAGGCTTAAATTGCCCCGATCTGAGCCNATTGCAGATAAATTTTTGTACCACATTTTTTTTAATCGTAATTATATTTTGCAGACCTTTGTTTTAAGAATTTAAAGGCATGCTTCTATTTAAAAATATTTTCAACAAATCACATAGATAACATATATATTGAATGTTTACATAATATAACCATAAATATCTCTACAAGTAGTTTCTTTTTTTTCCAGTTAAACAGAGTTCTTATGACCCTAAGACAGTGTTTCCCAAATTGTGGTAAGCATACCCCCAGGGGTGCGGGAACCGTTTAGCGGGGGTACGCTTTCTTATGGCAAATGTCTTGCAACAAACGAAAATTTCAAAAACAAAGCTAGCCATAAAAATTTACAATGACGTATTTTTCTATTGGCTATTTTTAGTTAATAATTAGTTAATAGTTAATAATTAGTGGTGTCAAAAGCCAGTTGTGGTTTTTAACTTATGTGCAATTTTTTATAATAAAAAATTACATTCATTTTTTTTTTTATTAGTGGTACACAGCGTTACAAAAAATTTAGAAAGGGTACTCAAAAGTCATATGTTTGGGAAACACTGCCCTAAGGTGTTATAGTAATCTTTCTTTTTTACTCTTAATTTTTTACTTATTTGCTACAGACTTAATTTATGATACTACTTAACTTTTTGCTTATGGCTGTTATAACAAGTGAATCAGAATAGCAGGCTTTATAATGCTTCTTAATGGCCATAATATTGGCTTATGGGCCATTAAATTTTACATTTATTTCATTTTCTGACACTATGTCAATTCTGTAGTCACACCCTTGAATTGGTGTATATAAAGGCAACGAAGCCAACTTGCTCCCAACAGCAAATATATATTTTAAAGTGGTAGTTTATCAATTGTGATTCTTGGTTTAATAAATTCAATTTAGTAGATTTTTATCCACCATATTTCTAAATAATTCGTAGGCTTGTATAATTTACCACTTTATAGTACTTATGTCATGCTATACCTTTTAAAATGCAAGGAAAAATAGTCAAATATTTGAAAATTTTACTTAGTAGTTATTTACCGTTTTTTTAATTATTTTGGCGTGTCTGGAGCAGTTGGCATCTCTGTAAAAGTATTTTGTTTGTTGAAAATGAACAGAAATATTTTACATTATTACTCTTTCTTTTTATAAACTTTCATTTTATAAAAAAAAAAATGTGATTGGTAGTCTGCTTCTTATTTTAAAATACTTTGTAAATTTTCTTTTTTATGTCAGGAGCCTTTGATGGAAGAATATAGTATTGCTGCTCAAGTCTGGAAACTAAGTAGCTGTGATATGTGCGAATTAGCAAGAAATAGTGTCCTCATGAGTGGCTTTCCACTATCTGTGAGTAATATTCATTCATGAATTTAACTGAATATGAAATGATATTTATGAATTGATAAGACTTAGGGCAATAATGAGCCTTCTTTCCAAATTACTCAGTTGTAATTTTTAAGAGCATTTCTGGTAAAAAGCACCACAATTTCTCATGGGCAGTATTCTGTTTTTGTATATTGTGCTATTATCTAACATAAATTTCAAAAACGTAAGTGCTTATCTGAAAAAAATTCTAAGAAACGGTTTGATGATATGTCACTTTTGGAAAATGTCTGGCTTGAAATTTTTTAAATTTGATTTGCGAAATCTCTTTGAAACCTTGTATTACTCGTGTTACTTTCTGTCCCATTTAACATTTATTTCAGACTTTAAAAATGTATTGCAGTTCCATTTAATGTACATATTTTAATGTAATTGTATGTAAATTTAGAGGGTATAATGTTTCAGATAAAAATTATTGTTTGATAAGAAAGTTTTCTATTTTAAGAGCATTTTGTATATTTGTAGGTCATTCTGATATAATAAAGGCCATTTTAATTTTATTTCTTAGCCTTCAAGATCTGATTTCTGGTTTTCTTAAAATGTTTAACACGTTGACTGCCACGAGTACCGCAGTACGAAACGTATTCTGCTATGTACTTCCATCGATATTTTAATAATGCAAGTCTCTCATGGTCACAAGAATAATATCTCACTCGGTTTGTTTCCATGGTACCTGTTTATTTATGTCCGTTGCATTGCATCTGTTACTCATCTCGCCACTTTACACGATCAGTTTGAATCTTTGTCGAGTAAAGAGGAGTATAACCTAAAATCTTTACCCTAATTTTTGAAATTTTGAAAAGAAAAATGGGAAACTTATTTCTTAGTGAGTCAAATAGCAGTGAACAAGACAGCTTTTACGAGGCTCACAATAATTTTCTTAATATATCATTTTTGCATTACTTTTATAGCAATTCAATAGTTTCGTTACTTCCAGTGAAATATCTTTTCAAATACATGCAAACATCCTTTGCAAGTGGTCGAATGAGCGTCACCCCAATACGGGTAACGCGGCCCGATCAGAAATTTCGCTGTCAACCGAATATGGGTGACGTGGCACTCAACGTGTTAAAAAAAATGTGCTTCATATTAATGTTTAAATTCAATTATGAAAAGATAATAACGGTAAGAAAAATTAATATTTGTAAGCATGATCAATTTAGTATTTCAAGGTTCATGTAACTTAACAATGTTGTGCTACTTCAATTTATAAAATATGTACTGTTTATTTGCAGGTTAAAAAACACTGGCTTGGTAATAACTGCATGAAAGAAGGAATTGCAGGTAATGATATTACTCGTACTAATGTACCAGACATCCGAGTAGCATACAGAGCTGAAACTTTATTAGAGGAACTCTCTACTATTTTCAGTGCATTGAATACTGGTGTGTCAACACCTGTCTCGCCTGCACCCATAAAATAATTATTTTTAGTCCACAAAGCCCAGTTTATTTCTTTACTCTATATATTTAAATTAATTTTTGCCTTTAAAAGTACTTAGGATTTTTTATATAATATAAATAAATTTATATAGTGGATGGAAAGACGCTTTGAAATATAAGCAATACTTATTTGTTGCTTAATTTGCTTATGTTGTCTTTTTTTTTAAAGTTTGAGTGATCTCAACTATTTCCTTATTTAAATTTTTAGCTTTATGTATAAAAAAAATAGAAAATATATTTTGAATGGGCAACAATTAATAATGAATTTGTGCATGTGGAGTATTTTTTTTTCCTAATGAAGATTTTTTTAATTATTTGAAATTTAATTTAGTGTATCTGGTTCCATAAATAAAAATATTAATTTTTTTTTCTTTTTTTTTTTTGCTAGGAGCATAATTTTATTAAAAATTTTACTGGGCATGACATTAGAATTTTCGAAATTGCTCTAATATCTTAAAAGCAATTCATTATTAATCAAAGTTTATTTTTATTTCCATCAAAGTATATTTAATTTATTTATTTGTTCACAATTATTATTTAATTGAAAATCTTGTTGAAAATTTTAAAAAATTAAGAAATATTACCATATCTGATTTTGTAATTAGAAATAATGAATTTGTGCTGGCATATTTTAATAAAAAGCTTGTTGAAAATAGCTTATAAGTAATAATGAAATGCTAAAAATTCTCGAATAGTAAAATCTTAAAACTATTCATTTTAAATCAAAGTTTCTTATTTTTCAAAATATATTTTATTTATTTATTTATTAGTCTTATTTTATCAAAAATCTTGTAATACACTTCAAAGAAAAAATTAAGAAACATTATTTATTTTCTATAGACATATATATATATTATTTTTTATTATAGACATAATTTATTTTGTTGCTGACTTTTTTAGTAGAAATTCTATGCTCAATATGGGCAAAAAAATTGTGTTGTAGATTTTAAAATAATTTCATAGACTTGAATCAATTACAGTTAATCCTGTTATAATACATTTCAAAATCATTTTATTCTCATCATTGAACATACTCCTTGGTTTTCTTATAATTTTCTATCCATACAATAATCCATATTTAAAACTTTAATGAAATGTGAACAGTGTTACCACAAAATAAATTTAGTGAAGTATTCATAAATTTCAAGCTAAACAATGATTTGTCAGAGCATTGTTAACTTTTTTTTAAAAATTAAGAGTATCAGGTGAGCGCTTAGTAACAATCTCTTCTTCAATCAGACTATCTTTTAAGACAAAATTTTAAATAAAATTCTATATTAATGAAATTTTTATTTATTCCAGAAAAATTATAAAATGATTTTATTAAAATGCAGATGCAAAATTTTTATTATATATATTTTTCATACTTTTTTCTTTTTTGTATAAATTTATGTCAAAGTAATGGGAAAATATTATATTTAGCATTTTAATATAGTTATAGAAAACAGCATGAAACAGTGTTTTTTTTCTGCATTAAAGGTAAAATCTTTCAAACACAGCCCACTTCCAAACAATAATTTTTCAAATTTGCACTTAATTGCAGTATACATCATTAAAATTTCTTTAATTTACAAAATCAATTATTGATAAATGTTTGAAAATAAGTGAAAAAAAATTGCTTCCATCCTTTTTTTTTTTTTTNGAAAAATATACAAGTTTTTTTTTTTTTTTTTTTAACTTTTATATTTTAAAACAAATATGATTCCAATAATCTAACAGATTTTTTATAATAACTATTAGACTGTTTTTTTTTAATGAAAAAATTCCAATATATATTTGATTGTAATTAGAATGTGAGGGAAAAAAATACAAAAGAGACACTCGTGTCCTATCTGCCTCATCATAAGGTTAAAACTGTTTTATTTAGCTAAGTGTTGTAACTTATTTAAATTCTTAAGAAAAATATTTTCTCAACTTTAGTTTATTTAAATATAACACATTTGATCAAACAAAATTTAAAAAAAAAAAAAAAAGAGTTCAAAAGTATTTAACAAAAATTGTTCTACAATATACAAAATTGTATATTAACATGAAATTTTATCATGAAATTTTTTTTCCCTTCAAAATTGCTATTCCTATTTATTAAATAAAAATTTCTCTGAAGTTGCCAAAGATTGTATGCATTTATTTGATTAATATTAATTTGTAAATTTTAGAATTTGGATTGTTAAAAAAACTGTGCATTTGTAATATATATATGCACAAATTATGTGTATTATGATATTGTTGTGTAAGTAGCTGTAATGTATATTATTAGCTTTTGTACTAAACTGATTATTTAGTTAGTTATTTTTTACTTATTTTACATTTTTTTATTGTTTTTATAGTTCTTATATTTGTATTAAATGTTGTAAATTGAGCTTCAATTGCAAAAATGCTACATAATATATTTTATTATAGAATTAGCAGATTCTATTAAATACTTTTTATGAGAGCTATAGAACAATTTTAAATTTAAACAGGTGAAGAAAAAGATTTCCATTGAAGTATCATAAATTTTGTTGAAATTAGAAAATATTACTGTTAAAAGAAAATATTTACAGAAATAAAGTTGTTGAAAATTGTTGGAATAAATGTGCTTATTTCTGATTTCCTGTGTATGTATTTTTTATTTAAATACAGTCCAACCTCGCTATAATGAATTCGGTATACAGTGAACACTCGGTTGTAATAAGCTGTTTTAGTGGTCCCTTCTGAACTCTCATTTAATTAACGTTATTTTATATAATGAATGTTACATACATATTATAGTGAACAGCTGAAAATTGATAACTTATAATGGAATCTTAATTCTTTTTTTGAAGTTGCAATTGCTAGTGAAGACTTTTCTTTACATTGTGTCATCTTGCTCTTCCCTTTTAAACTAGATTGGACAAACTGTTAAACGACACAATTCTCTTACCTCTTTAGTGAAGAACATTCTGAAATTTTTTTTTTCTTTTTTGGCAGCTGAACTAGAAAATACTGGAATCTTTACTAATTGTTGAAACAAAAGTTAGTGAACTCTTGTCAGTTGAAAATTCCTAATTTCTCACATGGAATTTCTTTCAAATTGATAAAAAAAATTATGTTATATCATCTCTATTTTCATAAATAGTGATGTTGTATACTAAAAAATAATTTTAAAAAATTTGGATACAGTGAATTATTGTTTACAATGGACTCATTGTGTTCACAGACAGTTCACTGTAATGGGGTTTCACTATAACATAAAAAAAAATAGTTATCTTGATGATGTGATTGCTTTTGTCAGTACTCCAACAACCAGATCAAATAACTCTGCAAATTATTGGCTTAAACAACTTGGGCTTGTATATAATGCTTGTTAAAACTTTCAAATAAACATTACTATGTATAAAATAGTATATCTAGAAATACATCAATTCTATTTCTGCTTGTGTACATTGAAATTAAGTAAAATAAGAAATGTATATTAGCACTCAAAATATTGTACAGAAGTATGATTTTTTCCATACTTTTAAACTGTTTAGTTTCAAAAACTTCCGTAATTATTTTAAATGTTATACAAATGGTATATTTGAGAACTATACTATCACACACATTAATATAAAGGTTATTTTTTTTTTTATATTTATATCCATGTAAATTAAATGATCACTCTATACTTAAACAACACATTTACAGTGTCTTAAACAATTTTAACACCGTTAATTTAGAAATTTATTTTTTAATTTAAAAAGTTGTGATTATGTTAGAGTAGATATACTTAAAATAATACATAACAGTATTTTGAAATTTTGCATTGTTTCAAACTCAATTCAGAGTGCACTCTTTTAACTTGGCTATAAATCTGAAAATGTTAAAAGAAATAAAAGAGAAATAAGCTTTATTACTGTTCTAACATTTTTTGCAGTTTTTATTAAAAATCTGTAGGCCTCTTTTTCTAATCTGTTAATCCCATCGCTGTCCAGTCCCGTAGTGGACTGATCGTTAAGACACGGTTCCCAGCAGATCACCGAAGTCAAGCATCACTGACTGCGGGTGGGTGACCACTTGGATCAGTCTGCATAGGGACCGAGGGTGTGCGGTATTGGTCCTCGTTAAACTGTTCTACCGTAAAGTGCTCGNATATCTAGATATACATCAATTCAATTTCTGCTTGTGTACATTGAAATTGCGCAAAAGAAACTTAAATTAGCACTCAAAATATTGCACAGAAATATGATTTTTTCATACTTTAAAACTGTTTAGTTTTAAAACTTAATTACTTCCGTAATTATTTTAAATGTTGTACAAATGGTATATTTGAGAAATTTAAAACTATACTATCACACACATTAATATAAAAGTTTTTTTCTTTTTTATATTTATATCCATGTAAATTAAATGATCACTCTAAAATTAACACTGTTCATTTAGAAATTTATTTTAATTTAAAAAGTTGTGATTATGTTAGAGTAGCTATACTTAAAATAATACAAAACAGTATTTCGAAATAGAACAAACAATAATAAAGCTTATTTCTCTTTTAACATTTTTTGCAGTTTTTATAAAAAAATCTGTCGGCCTCTTTTTCTAATCTGTAATTTTTTTTCTTCTGGAGAACTGCTCATTTTAATTGCAATTTGGCAGCAGTTTGATTAACAAACCAATTTCTAAGACTCAAGATAAAGAGAGCTTTAGAAGAATGAACAAAATTCCTACGATTGCCAATCAACAGCAGTCATAGGTATTGAAAGCAAATATTAAGAGTAAGTTTAATATGAACCCATTGTAGTGGCTCAGGGAATAGAGCGCTCTCCTCTCGATGAAATGACCCAGGTTTGAATTCGGCTCGCATCGACCATAGTGCTGACGTAAAATATATCTTCTCCAGTAAACAAATCATGGGAATGTCTAACGGGGTTTAACAAAAGTTTCGAAATTTCGTTGGATTATAAGTTTATATATAAATTAGTACTTAAACAATCTTTTGACCATTTTGTTTCTGATCATTCACATACTATCTACAATAAAAAATATATTGAGCCTAAGCTTATTTAAATATAAATAAAATTTATAATAATACAAATAAAAATAAAAAAAGAATTCAAGTAAATAAGAGATAAATATAAAGGAAATAATTAACACATTTAAAAAATAACCACATTTAATGTAATTGCCGCTCTTGTTTACTGCTGACTAACATGTCAATTTTATGTGTCAAACCAGTTACAGCTTCATATAAAAACAGACAAAAGATAAATCGATTTCAACATTCTATTCAAATAAAACTCAATCCAAAATGTAGTTTCGAATAAAAATGTAGAAGAAAAAGACAAAATTAATTGCCTTTGCATGAAGAAGAGGATAATTTTTGTAGTTCTTATCCAGAACTGATATAAGTTCATTATATTGAATTGTGTTTTTAATCCTAAATCTAAAAATAGTTCCATGAGTTCTCCTTTCGAAGTAAAAAGGCAGCAAATCTGTGAATAGTGCTTGTGGACTGGCAGTTGAAAAACAATGATCTAGACTATGTTTTTTAATTATTTTTGTCACATATTCATTGACATTAAATAAATATACCAGATTTATTTAACTAAATATGTATAGAATAAAGATATTTAAAAAATTACAAGTCCTGTTCTTACACTTAATTTATTAACAAAACAAAAAAAAACATTTTTCTACAAATTTTAAAAGTTAGTAACAAAATAGCTTGAAAATCCATTAACTAAACAAAACACATACATACTCAAAAATAGTTATTTTACAATATTAAGAATATACAATGTCATCTAAGCCACAGATTCATCAACTACAAATCTTGGTTACGCCCATTTTGATAAGTAGCATCATAATACTTCTTGTTACAATAGTAGGAGAAATAAACAAATGAACCATAATATTGCCCCAAAACACCACAATAAGTAACAAAAGAAATTCTGCAGCTCAGAGTGGTTGAATAACATGTAGCTAGGTTTCATTCCACACAATTCAGATAGGAATATTTGATCATTTAACCTAGTGTGGAAAAACATAATTAACAATTATAAAGGATATAATTGAAGGGCAATTAAATAATAAGCTACATATTCAGAAAAGCATTTAGTGCAAAACACAAGGATTTTCATAGAGGCAATAAGATGTTTCTGTGTATAGTGCTTTTATCTAGTTAAATCTCCTTCAACTTCTCACATACCAGCCCACAAATAACAACTAAGGGACATCTGGCTAAATTAAAAAATTTTACTACTGGCCAGTGCTGTTGCATTTTTAACAGTGGCCACTTTTTAAAAATACATAGCCATTTTTTTTCCAAAAATTAAAAAGCTTAAATGGTTGAAAAAAAGAAACTGTTGATATACTAATATTATTTCTTTGGAAGCATTTCTTTGCAAACATTACCAAACTTATTTCTAAAATAAAGAAAAATAATAAAAATTTAGTATGAAGTAAAGCAACTAACAGTTTATAAAATATTCATAACACCATACTTATTAAAAAAAATAATAAAATGCACAAAATGCATATGGAGTGCACAGTCAATAACAAAGGGGGCAATTAGCAGATAATTTTTTAATTATCATTTATTATATTTATTTCCCCTGTGACAATTATTAATTTTGTCCTATAATGAGGAACAAATATTAAAAACATCAGCTTCGAAAAAAGCATGCTTTATGGCATATTGCCTGGAATTATAGCTACTGTAGTTTATTATAAGGAATAATATTATTAAAATGTAGTTTCTCTTAATTAGGAGAATATCAAATAGCCTTGAATTTTTTTGAGATTTTACTATATATTTTAATTTTATTTCAGTGCTATGTGGAGTTTTATAAGTCATGAATTACATTATCTCTATTAACATTAAACTTTGAATTTTAAAACATACATCAAAATTATAAACTTTTTCAATATTTCTGAATTATTTTTCAATACTCCCTTAAGGCTTGTTTCACTCATACGAGGGCCGATTTTCTAATAAATGATGTCAACTATGCCCTATAACTTAGCAATGCATATGAATATGTAGATTGCCCTGATTTGCCCCTTTCACCATTACCATTACTGGGTGCGTAGCCAAATCTTTCAACAAAAAATAAGCGCCTTTGAAATACTTTTTAAGCACCTAAAAATATTTTTAAGCAATATATATATTAACAAAATGCAAAATAATTTTCAAAGACTTTACGTGATTATGATAAATTAACTTGATTATATTAGCCACCATAAAAAGATCGAGAGAATTTTCGGTTCGAAAAATGAGGGTGGAAAATAAAGCCTGAAATTGAGAATACCTAGAAAAATGCAGCAGAGTTAGACATGAGAGTGCTAGAATCTCACCGTACTCAGCTCAGCAGACTCACAAGCGGACTCGCAAGAATTTCATAAAACATGTAAAATGATTGCCCCTTTCATAAGATATGGATCGTGGTGAAAACCACGCTTTTGCATAATACGTGCCGAAATTCGACAGGGTAAAGAAAAAATCTCTTTTTCAAAAAAGGAATATCAAACACCTTTTAAAAACACCCATTAAAGAAAACACCTTTAAGGGCTTTTAAAAAACGAAAATTGAAAATAAGCACTTTTTAAAAAACGCATTATACTTTTCCTCCCAATCTTTTGATGGCAACTATGTCTTATTTTGTTTTTATCAATCACAAGACATTGACTTAGCAAGAAGCATCAAATTTGACACACACACTATGCCGAGCTTCCATCCGTTTCCAAAAAGAAGATTTTATTTTTAAGCACAATTCTTGCTGCTAGTTCATTCTTTTACTTAAGATCAGGGTTGGCATGATTTAAATCACTTGATTTAAAAATAAAAATAAATTGATTTAAAATTATTAAATTTCATTTTTATGATTCTTATGACTGTAATTTTTTTTAAAGTTGGATTTCATTAAGAATTGACATTTTTTTGAGAGAAATAATGAGATGAAGTACAATTATTGTTTGATGTTCAAAATAGAAAAATAAATAACAATAAAAAAAAAGATTAGAGTGATTTAAAGCTTTTAAATTATTATTTTTCTTCAATTGTTTGTTGAACAACTTTTTTTTTAATAAACATACTATTTTATTTATACCCATTTAGTTCATATTTATTTACAAGCTATTTTAAAACATATTAAATTTGTAGTTCATAGATATAAATAATGAAGAAAAACTTATTCTGCCAAGTAATTTAGAATAATTCTAGGCAGATTCTTTTTTATGTTTCTTGATCTAAATTAATTTTTTTCTTTGAATGATATTTGACTGCCTAATAAGGTCTTTGTTATTACATTATTCATGAAATTATTTAAGCTTGAATATATAAAGTAGGATTTTATTTATTCAGTTCTAGTTTCTAATCATATAATAACTTTAACTATTTTAAGTTATTAATATTAAGTGTTTTCATTATAGAAGCCCAGTAGCTGAGTGGTAGCGCTTCATGCTCCCGTGCCACAGGTCCTGGGTTTGATCCGCGGGCCGGGCAAGGTTGACTCAGCCTTTCATCCCTTCAGTGTTGATAAATGAGTACCAAGCATGTTTGGGAACTAAATACTAGGGGTTTCGCGTTCGGCTGACCACCTAACTGAAACATCTGCTCATGTACCCCAGAGCCCAAGGTCAAGAAAACTGAGATGGGCACAGTAGGCCTTGGCCCTCTATGGGCTGTCGCGCCACTGAGTTTAGTTTTTTCAGTTTAGTTTTCATTATAATATAATATTGCTTTTATTAAACATTAAGAAAAATGAATAAAATGTTTAAGAGCTTTGGTTGGTAAATGTTTAAAAAAAAAATCTGAAATTTCTTTTTTAAATCATGATTTTTGATAGCCCTGCTTAAGATTAGTCTCGCTTATTTCAAAACTATGTTTCAAATAATAAGTAAATAATATAAAATATAATTATTGGACTTTACTTACTGGTGGAATGATAATCAGTCTACATGTTAAATTTAACCTCATCCTCCCCCGCTGGTACCTCGACGCGTAGGTCTGAAGCAAGAACTGCTACTACTTCCTCCCATCAATGGATTATACTCTGGTCTCAAACTTTGAGATTCATCTTTGGGTTTTGGTTTTGTAGACTTTCCTTTCATAAGATTCTCCATTGCTTCAATTCTTTCTTTCTTTTTTTGCTCCTCTTTCTAACATAACAAAAAAAAATCTTTTTTTAATTTTAACATGAACAGCCAAAACAATCGGCAAGAGATAAAATAATTTCATCTCTTTCTCAATGGAGAATCTTTCCTTTCATAAGATTCTCCATTGCTTCAATTCTTTCTTTCTTTTTTGCTCCTCTTTCTAACATAACAAAAAAAAATCTTTTTTAATTTTAACACGAACAGCCAAAACAAACGGCAAGAGATAAAATAATTTCATCTCTTTCTCAATGGAGAATCTTTCCTTTCATAAGATTCTCCATTGCTTCAATTCTTTCTTTCTTTTTTTTGCTCCTCTTTCTAACATAACAAAAAAAATCTTTTTTTAATTTTAACATGAACAGCCAAAACAAACGGCAAGAGATAAAATAATTTCATCTCTTTCTCAATGGAGAATCTTTCCTTTCATAAGATTCTCCATTGCTTCAATTCTTTCTTTCTTTTTTTGCTCCTCTTTCTAGCATAACAAAAAAAATCTATTTTAATATTAACACGAACAGCCAAAACAAATGGCAAGAGATAAAATAATTTCATCTCTTTCTCAATGGAGAATCTTCCCTTTCATAAGATTCTCCATTGCTTCAATTTTTTCTTTCTTTTTTTGCTTCTCTTTCCAACATAGCAAAAAAATCTATTTTAATTTTAACACGAACAGTCAAAACAAACGGCAAGAGATAAAATAATTTCATCTCTTTCTCAATGAAGAATCTTTCCTTTCAGAAAATTTTCCACTGCTTCAATTTTTTCTTTCTTTTTTTGCTTCTCTTTCTAACATAGCAAAAAAATCTATTTTAATTTTAACACGAACAGTCAAAACAAACGGCAAGAGATAAAATAATTTCAGCTCTTTCTCAATGAAGAATCTTTCCTTTCATAAGATTCCCCATTGCTCCAATTCTTTCTTTCTTTTTTTGCTCCTCTTTCTAGCATAACAAAAAAATCTATTTTAATATTAACACGAACAGCCAAAACAAACGGCAAGAGATAAAAGAATTTTTATATTAAACATAGTACATGTTGCTACACATAAGAGAATTAAATTTCTAGGTGTATTTTCAGAAAATTCCAGTTTTCCCCTTTTTATTGGTATCGTTTCCGATTCCGTTACCAAAATAATTGCTAATGCATTGCTGCCATTTCATCTTTTTGCCATAAATATGCCTAGAACGGTAATGAAAGCAGAGTCGGGCAACATTTGTTTTCACTTTTTCAGAAATAGGGAGGGGAGACAAGAACTTTCGAGAAGAGAAGTCAACAGTGCGTGACGAGCTGGGCAGTACGTGATCAGAGGAATTGTTAATTCCTTCGTTAGAAGTCCAAATGCACATGCACAGAGCAACTTTTCTTTTGTTTACCGATAACGTGAGCACGAGCATTTGGTCTGACAAAGGAATTAAAGGGATTTCTAGATTAGAGGGTCATTTTAGAAGTGAGGCGCTAGACTCTTGTAAGATAACAAATATTGAAAATGTATCACGAACATTAACAGGAAAATGGCTGTCTGCGCGGACATCGAATTCGAGAAATTCGTTGTCCGTGGGGAATATTTGGTGGATGGGCGGTTTTTCAAGTCCTGATTCTACACATTGAAAAAGAAAATTTTTTAAACAAGTATTCTACATATTTAAACAACTATTCATGAGTTTCAAATTTTTTGTTTATAAAAAATTAAGTAAGTATTACCAGTCGCATTTTTTCTGCATGCTCCTGAGCAAGTTGGTCATGCTTTTCCTGGAGTTTCCGTCTAGCAAGTTGCATAGCTTCCTCTCTTTCAATCAACCGGGTTGGATCTAACAACAATTTTGAATGTATTTCAACAACTTTAAACCATTAAGAAAATATTTCACAATAGAAAAACATCTGTACTTTAAAGTACACGAAAAAAGGATTAATTTTCAAGAATCCATAACTTTTTATCGACTGTTATGAATTTTATGTACCATAAAATTTGATGGATTTGCTGGATAAATGTTCTCTCCCTCTTTTGTAAACTTATTTATCTATGTACTTAGATGCATGTAATTGTATTCATGCATTAGAAATTAAATTTTATATGAATATGATTTCAAAATAAAATTAGTGAAATGAAAAAATATATATATTACTAAGATGTAACTTTACAAAAACTATCTTAACAATACCTTTTTTGTATTCTGCTTCTTTTCTTTGATCTTCCTGTCTTTCCTGCCATTTTTTGTATTTAGGATAAAAGTGACTCCAAATTAAATTTAAAACAACAACAATGAACAGGCATGTCCATCCATATGTAGATAAAAATTCTGTAACTATAAGACATGAGTTCATTAGAATCATAAGTATAAATAATGAACTTAAAACAAAGTGATAATATTTTAAATTAATCAGAGAAATTTATAAATGCTTTTGTATAAAATATGCACATAAATCATGGTAGTTAAACAAATACAGCATTCTAAGAAAACCAAACTAAATATTTTGATAAAAGATGACATCCTTTACCAGAATACTATTTCTGAAAAAAAAAACTGAATTTTCTGATTATATTGTGCAACAATTCTAAAAAATAATATATGCAATGCAAAAAGATAGTTATGAACACATGTTTGTAGAGCTATAATTATTAGAAAAGGTGCACAAATATTTTTACATAAGTTCCACTGGCAATGAAGTGCCACAGGCCGAAGTACTTAGGCATGTTGACGGCAATATGTTTTATTAATAGTTGGCAATAGGTTTTGTTATTAGTTGAATAACATTTATTTAATAAAAGAATATTTAGTATGATAAAAAAATTATCTAATAAAAGGAATAAAAAAGTAAATAAGAATAAGTAAGTACGTATATAAGTAAAAAGACTAAAAAGTAAGTAAAAAGGTAAGCAGGTGCTTTCTCATGAATAAAAACATTTTTTTCTCGTCTTTTTCTTTTTCATATGATAAGAAAAGTTATCAATTATTCAGATCAAAATAACATATTATTGCAAGTTACAAATTGGAAGGATAATAAAAAGAAAAAATATATTTTCAAACAAAGAATGGAAATGTGTAAAATTTTTTTTTTTAAAGAAAACATCAATATTTTTAAGTAGATATTTTTTTTTAATGTTATTAATAGTCAACTTTATTATTATTCATAGTTTGTTTCCGACAGAAATTTGTTTTTTCAACACTATTCTCGTTTTTTCAACAACTCATTTATTGTAATTGTAGTTCATTTACGTCGCATTAGGCTATTGACGATGGTCTAAGAAACATCCCTGAGGATGATCCGAAGACAATTAATCACAATTTTGATCCTCTGCAGAGGGGATGGCACCTCCGATTCGGTAGCCCTATGATCTGCACGCAATGTCGAGCAGTTTACAGTCAAACAGTTTAACGAGGACCAATACCACACCCCCGGTCCTTACACAGACTAATCCAAGTGGTCACCCACCCAAAACTCATTTAAGTACCCTCTTTAAAGGCAGCAAAAGGGTGGGGGGGATTATACCCAATGTTTTGTGAACAGATCAAAAACATTTAAAAAAAAAAAAAAAAATTTCTTTTACTTTTATTTCTTATGGAAAAAGGAATTGATTTCAATTATTATAAAATCTCTGGAAAATAGACATCAGGTAAACAGATATCAGAATATAGGACTTAGTACTGTATGTACATGAATACATGAGCTCTCAATAGAGGTTTCAACCATCATTTCAATCATCTCCAGAAATAAAGTTAAGAAATTATTCATTGCTTTTTGATAAGTAAACAAAAATTTAAAAATCCTTGGCTATTACATATTAACATAGTATAGAAGGAATAAGGATCAAACTGAAATAATTATTGGATATATTTCGCTCATAATTATTATAATAAGCAAGGACCGACAAGTCCCAGGGATCAGGTCACCTAGAAAAATTTCCTTGGCAGCTAACTTTTTCAACATATTCTATTATTTATTATAAGTAGAAAGGGTTGGTCACTTTTTCTTTATTCATTCAATGTTTGTATTAAAGGTAACAATAATAATATACCTATAGATTTTAAGTTTATTTCATAGTTTGTTTTATAAAATTATAGACATTATAATTAGAATGTTTAACTTCTTGAATAAGAAAAATTATGCATGATCCAAATCACTAAAAAATAGCCAAGTACATTCATGAGAAGCTAGTTTTCTATTTTACAGGAAACGGAACTGGTCACAATAATTCTAAAAGCTGGTTCCTAAGAATAATATTTTACAACTTTTGTCAGTCCCTGGTAATGCTTTATAAACGGCATTCAACGAAAAATATTTAAATTAAATGACATTCAAAAAACTAAGGTAAACTATTAAGGTCATATTCATACAATATTAGTAACAACTAAATATGCATTTAATACCTATTTCAAAAGTGTTCCTTTCTATTGCTGGTTTTTCATCAACAGGTATATCCATTTTTATGTTTTACCAAAGCTGAAATATTACAGAGAGTGTTATAAACTGAAAAGTTAAAATAAATGAACAGAATATTTCATAAAAACATAATGACAGGTGAAAATTTCAAAATTATAATAGTTTAAAATAAAAAATTGTCTTTTACGGATTGCCAGAAATATAAAAATTCTCCTTTACATAATTAAGTAAATTAAAAAGCATAATATTATTAATTTTTGATTTTTCATGTTACACTTGATAAGTTTTGACAGTTATAAACATCAGATGCGGTGAGAAGTTAAAAGGTAATTTTTTACTGACACTTTTTATGAATTAACACAAGAATGATAAAAGATACTTTTTACTATTGATAATAATCTATGTCGGAATACTAATCTACAAGTGACCCATTGCGAGCAATATAGATCTAGGCGCCAGGATTGCCATTGTTGTGAGCAATATTAGGGAATTGCCTGATGTTTACATTGATATAGGTACATCGCTCCCTACCTTACAGGTATGAAGCCTACATCGCATCTGGTGAAAGATTTTTTGAGCAACTTCTTTGAGCATTTCTAGAGCAATTCTTTGTATATCAATAAAATCCCAATGAATAAAGTCTTCAGAAGCATCTTTTCTCACTCTATTTATTTAAATGTGGCAGCAGAAAACAACCTTTTAACTTCTCCCTGCTTATGTTATGATCACAGGGGTGATTGCGACCCCCAAGTCAAAATTCCAGAAAATTTCCTGAGTTAAAAAAAAAAAAANAAAAAAAAAAAAAAAAAAAAAAAAGACGGTTTAAATTGAAAAATTAGAAAAAAATTTAAACAAGGTTTTGTCCTTTTTCTCAACATTTCTTAGTTAACTTAAAATATATTTCAAATTTTACACATACCTATGATGACCTGGAGAAGTAATTGAAATTTACAAATATGTCTTTCTTTCTTGAGTTTATGATTATAATAACTATTTACTGATAAAAAATGAATATTAATCTTGAATATAAGCTTATAAAGGCTCTCCCTTACAAACAAATAAAATAAACTGTGTTTTTAAGTTCCACCTTTGAAAATTTTATTTCCGGAAACTTCTGTAATCAATTATTTTTTGAAACGTCTGAACCTTTGATCTCCGAAACTTCCGGATCACTGTCAGCGAAAAATCCGGAAATCCTGATTTTTTCCAGAGCACAATCAGCCCTGTAATCATACATTTAATGAAGAATATTGTGTAAATGCGTTCTATCACTCGGTAACAGGTAGTACAGAAACTTTTATATGGAATCCACTTAAAGACCCAAAAAAAAATTAACTTAAAACATATAAATGTTATGAGTGCTAATTTTAAAAGATAAAAGTCAAACAAGAAAAATATTGTTAATATTTCAGAGATAAATAATTTTATTTGAAGGAGGTATCTTATGAGTGAGAATATGAGGTTTCATAGATTTAAAAATTAAAATCAAAAAATTATTCATTTCAAACAATGCTTCAAATTTACGGGATAATGTAATGTTAGACATCCTTAACTATGTATTAAAAAAATAACAATAATTTTTTGATAGAAAAACTGAAAAATATTTCATTTACATCATTTTTGCCGTTTGCAGAATATTACCCATTAAAGTACTGACAGCCAACTGTAGAAAATTTAATTGTTCCAACTACTGAAGAAACTATACGTTATACTATGCATAACAAATTTAAAAAAAATAAATAAATAAATTTTAAATTTTTTAAAAGAATAAGAAAATAAACAAAATAAATTGAGGCATGGTCAATTAACACACCATTATTTTGGGAAAAAAGGTCCTTGTAGGTTCAGATTCAGACAGGCACATATAATACCATAGGAGGTTTAAAAATCTATCAAATAAGAAAAAGAGTTAAACACAAGATTTCTTTCGCACAATTTAATAATTGGAGATATTTCTGTATCATGATCTGGTGCGCATTTTAAACTTGTAAATTTAGAAAAAAGATATTTGCTTAGGAAAGGTTATGAGTTATACTCTTCTAGTTGATCCCCTTTAAGAATGTTTCTCGCGAGACAATGCCAGGAAATCATTAAGACTTGACAATTATTTTGACAGTGAAGATCTTCAATTCTAAATCTGCCAGAGAATAATCACCAAGTTATGGCAACTTCCGGGCAGCAGTCAGCGAGAAACTGAAATGAAATATCACAGAAGGGGAGCAACTCAAAGGATATAACTTACAGCCACTACTGCAAAAAACATCTTTTTAAAAATAATTTGCAGGTTTAAAATCCTTTTGGAACCTTGCAACTGTGTATTGTGATAATACGACGTATCACAACACGGAAATATCTCCTTTTGGCGTTGATCATGATAGAGAATCTTCACAGTGAACAATTATTCCTCGCATATCAATCATATCTCAAATTACGTGTAGCATAGGGTGCCCCTTGCATTTGGACAATGTAATTTGGAACCCTTACTGTTTATAAAATATCCCACCTTTCTAAACAAATTTTATCGTGAATTCTCATTAGAAAATCTCATTAAGTAACTTTTCCTATTTCCTAAAAAAACATATAACATTTCCAAAATAAGAAAGGCACCCCACTGTTAACCAATATCTCCTCTATTAAAAACAAATCGGAAAAGTTGTAAAATTATTTCAATAACAGATCTTACCAAATCTATAAATCATAAAAATGTTTGTGGCCTAATTAAATTAAGCCCTGAAGTTAAGAAATTAGGCTGATTCATCTATTTTGATATAGACTAAAAGCGTTTAAAATTTCCGACTGCTTATATCTGCCTCAATTAGTCTTCGATGTGGCTGATAAGCCATGATTGCATTTTTTTAGGGATCATTATTTTTATTGTACTTTATTTACGTCGCACTAGAGCTGAACAATGAGCTATTGGCGACAGTCGGGGAAACAGCCCTGAGAATGACTCGAAGACATGCCATCACAATTTTTATCCTCTGCTGAGGGGATGGCACCCCCCGTTTTAATAGCCTTACGACCTGCACGTGATGTCGAGCACTTTAAGGTAGAACAGTTTGACGAGGACCAATACCGCACACACTCGGTCCCTACGCAGACTGATCCAAGTGGTCACCCACCCGCGCACTGATCGCAGTCAGGGATGCTTGACTTTGGTTATCTGCTGGGAACCGTGTCTTAACGATCAGTTCACTGCGGGATGGATCGTTTTCACTGTGTGTGACTTTGATTTCTTATCAGATTCACTATTTTTCTCTGAGATGATCGAAAGTGAGTGAACTGCATTCATTAAGATTGGCGCTTAAAAAAACAGCGAAGAAATGTGAGAAGTGTTTTCAAAGTTGGGCTAATTAATGTCTTGTCCCTCAATTTCTGATGAAATTGTCTCGTTTGTATTGGAAATTGAAGCTCCATGACAAATGATTGAAGAATATTTGGCCTGAGAGACCCAGGCCTATGGTCCCCACCTTTCTGGAAGTCCTTTAAATGTTACAAATGATTTATTTTTGTGTTTTCCCTTAAGGATTTGTCTATTAGAGTTATGAGTTAACAGAAATTTAAACAAATATAAACTCAAATTTACTAATATATCGTAATTTACTAGTATTGTGAATAATTTAAAAACACTTCATAACTAAACAACATGTAAATTTAGTTTAATGTAGTAACAAGGGGGCCCCGGACAGTTTTGTAACCAAGGCTCTTGCATGTCTAAATTAGACCCAGAAATGATGGGGGTTTTCAATGACGAGAAGGGAATTAGATTTATTAGGGAAACTATAAGAATTGTGGAATGGATATATGAAATGATAATTTTACGTATTTTTATCATTGTTAAATAAAAAGGATAAATAAAGATGTAATATTAACTAATTTTATTTGTGTTTTCTAAAATTGAAAAAAGGAAGAGGAAATTTCGTAAATATGTCGAATGGCTAGGTAGGTGAAATCTGTTGATTGTTTTGATGATAGATCATCTGAATAAACTAAAGAGTAACACTTATTTTCCATTAAAACCGAAATCTTAAAATTAATTATCACATCGCTTACATTATTGTATTAGTTGGTTACCTAATCCGATAGAAAAATAGTTTAAAATATAAAATAAGTATAAACCCAAATATGGCACTTCAGCAAATCCTGTGCAAGAAATATATACTAATAAGTAATGCATTTGTCTTTAATAAATATCTACCACATTACTTTATAAATAAATAGTGAATAATTTAAAAATTAGTCAATTTACAATTGTATTTCGGATCAACGCTTTGGAATTGAATCCAAGTAAAACGCTAGTTAAAGGAAGCTTAATAATGAATCATATATCACTCCACCTACTTATGATGATGAAATAAGAGCTACTATCAAAGAACTAAAAAATAAAGAAGCACCTCAGGTAGATAATAAAATAATCAAGAACCTTTCTCAATATTACATAAATCAGCTGACAAATTTGTTCAACAGATGTCTTTATTACAATTGAGGAGACACGTGGAAGTTAACGCGACTCCTAAAATAAAAACATATAATGAATAATTAAGTTGATTGAAGAATAGAAACAATTAACTGAATGCCAGCCATAATTAAATAATAATAAATTTAATAAAAGGATAACAATTAAGGTTACAAGTTAGTTAATTCCAGATTAAACATCGTGGCGGACAGGTTGTCCCAGCAACATACACAGGCGTCGTCACAGACCGAACTGAGGAGAAAAACAGGTGCAGTTAGGTCTGCAATCGTGATTGTCCTTATCGCCAACTGGCGACGTAAGTTTGCCACATTTCGGCGTTTAGCTTGAAATTGGCTTAAAAGCAGCAGCCGCTGCACAATTATTTCTCCCAAGAATAGTAGCATGCTGCTGTGATTTTAATGCCTAAATTTGTTTTTGCTTTTTTTTTTAAATAAATAAATAAAATAAAAAAACTTCTAATTTTTAGACTCAACAGTCTACTGCCAACTATAGTAAAAGCATTTAAAAGAATAATCTTTAATAGATTAAAATCCGTCCTGGAGCTACTTCCCGATGAGTAGTACAGGTTTAGAAAAGAACTCTCAACTGTTAAACAGCTCATCAGATTTTCTGAAATTATTTCAAATAGCTTTTACTTAAAACAGATGTCAGACTAGATATTTCTTAGGCCTTTGATTGTCTTTGGCATCAAGGCCTTATCGTAAAATTGCATCGATTCAATTTGCCTTTAGACTTTCTTCAACTACTAGACACTTACGTAATAAGTAGAATTTAACATATCAAGCTAAATAAAGGAGGCTCTGCTGTCAGAAAACATATGGACCGGGATGCCCCAAAGAAGTGTCCTTGGAACCTACTGGTATATTTTGTTTACATCAGACTTTCCATAGAAGAATGAAGATTCCAATCATCTTACTGTTTTCTACGCCTGTGACACGGCAGTGGTCCAAAAATCTTCAAACCCTGATTTTGCCTTTTCAAAACTACAAGACTTTGTCTACGAAATTGAAGAGTGGTGCATAAATTGGCTTATAGCCATAAATGCAATAAAAGCAATTTATTATTAATGAATTAGTGCAAAATTCACTAAAAGAACACAAATCTTCAACCAAACAGTTCCAGCTGTGCAGAAAATTAAATATCTTGGCCTGGCATTAAATAATAAACTTAATGGAACCATATGAAAAATATTACATCAAAAACCTGGGAGCGCTGATATTTTCAGCAAAAATTCTTGAATGAAAATATTACACACAGCCTATGGGCAGCCTTTCTCTCATCCGATGGTATAATATCCAAAAAGTATTTCAAATAATTTAAATATTGTACATAGCCTTCTTCCATTTTATTACCATTCATATATAATCAGTCTGGTGTAACCGGAAACCAACTTACCAGAAGCTGCAAACATTCACGTGGGGAGTCGGATCACCATGGGTTTCGTCAGCAACCCATCGTCGATTACGCTGCTCTTAGAATCGAAATGTACATCTCCAAAATAAAAGCAACTTTAAACAACATTGATAAGAAAATTGTGACAAGTATTGAAAATGCTGAATATTTTGAAGCGCAAGCTTGTGACCAATCTAAAGATCAATATCTTCCTCATAAAAGATTACTGCTGCCACGGACTTTGAATCAATATTGTCTTCTGGAACATCAAAGAAAGATGAAGCCATTGTGATTGCAGGGATCCTGCAAACAGCTCCGACTTCAACTTCTTCAGATGCACCAAAAACTTCACAATCAGTTGAGACTGCCTTCATTACTTATTTTCGAGAAAACTGAACATCCTTAAAGCTGTCTGATATTTTAGAGATCCCCGATGCTTGCACATCTTCTGAATTGCAGCGGAGAAAGAAAAACAAGGCTTGTGGCAACAGGGCAGCACAAGTGAACTTAGAATCAGACGGTGAAACCAACGACCCGAAAAAGAAACCAGACCTCGCAACTTTTCCGAAACCCCAGTCCCAGTGGTGACGGATGCCTCCCGCTCCCGAACTTAATTTTCTCATCTAGACTACCCTAAACTACTTTTCTCATCATTCAATCATATGTGAACTCTAAGAGAGGCATCATCAACAACAAAATTATTCCGTAGAGTTCATTGCCATCCAGTTCTATAAGTCCTAAATGTTTCGGCATACTCAACGAGCCTGCTTAACATCAGAACATGCTTGTATGAAATGAACAGGGGTAAATTACACGTACACTTAAACAACTCCTACCTGCGTAGACTGCAAAGGTGACCACCCAACTTGCTTAACTGGATGCAATAAAAACCCTAGGGGGGGAGGGCAGCTAAAGACTGTTGCCGACACAGTAACTCGACAACAGCTCATCTTCAAGGAAATGCAGAAATTTATACAGGAGGCGCTGGTAAGTCTGCTCCAATTTCTTCCCTCAGTTATCAAGACTTAGACTCTTCTATTAAGATCTACACCAACACCACCAGGACATTTACAGCGTCGCTGTAAATGTCCTGTAAATGTCCATCCCTCATCTGAGCAACTCAGATAAAGGAACCGATAGCCCACAGGGCCAAATATTTCTGATATGAACTTATATACTCATATTAGGTGGCCATTAAGTTACTTAAAACATATGTGTCTTTACAGCTGCTCTTGACGCTTCATTATTATAAGTCAGAATAATTGCAGATGTTCATTTAAAATTCATCAAGTTGGAAATCTCACTTAACAAAATGGGAATTTCCCCCTCCAAAAATGCAAGTTCGCGACTCCCCTGTCCTCTTCCGATGAAGTCAATAATCCAATCAGTTGATTCGAAGTGTCTAAATTGGACTAAAATCCAAAAAAATCAACTGGAAGAGGATTTAATGCGATTGTAGAAAATCCTCTGAAGTATTTTTCCCTTTTCTAATAAAGCAAAAGTGCGCAAAAGAAAATAAAAATCACTTTCAATAACCTTTGATTTACTGATCAGATTTTCTCGGTTCTATCTTCATGGTTCGAAGGCCTAACCTTAAATATGCTTGTCAATTAGTACAGACGATATATTTAAGTTACGAAATCTCGCGCAATAATGAAATTTCTCAATGCGTAACTTTTTTTTACGATGGATTCTATATTTTAGTATTTATTAGTCTCAATCTGGGAAGTATGATCCTAATGGTTTCGTCAGAAGTGTTGAAAGTCAGGATCCCTTAATGTTAGTTTTACTTTTTAAACATTTCGTCTGATCTCGAGAGCTTTTTTAAGCTCATCAACTATTAAATTTGCATAATTGTAAAATTCATTTGCACATAATTATAAAATTCGTTTATCCAAAGAAAATTCAATGTAAAAATAAATTTTAATACTAGAGAAAAAACTTGAATTAGGTGTAGGAATTTTTACATCATTTTAAAGAATTTAATTTTTACAGCAAAGTGAATGTGA